CAAGCGATAGTCTATCCCACTTGAGCGACTTCCAGGTTGAAAATCTTCTTCCTTTCTTCCAGTTTTTGCTTCAATTGTGTTGATAATTGTGCTCATTGCTCTTGTATCAAGGAATTCTCGAATTCATCCTATATTGGAAGAAAAATATATTAGAATTGACATAAGTTAAGTGATTTCATCACAATTAACAGCTCAATTATATCAACTTTTACCACTTAACAACAGTTATAGACAACATCAACTGTATGGTATTAAGTCTTGCCACTACAGCAAAAACTTCAATGTAATCAATTCCATGCCTTTGCACATATGCTTTTGTTACAAGCCTTGCCTTGTATTTCTCCACTTGCCCATTTGCATTCAATTTGGTTTTGAATACCTATTTGACTCCAATTGGTGTGACTCCATCGAGTAGTATATTGAGTTTCCAAGTATGATTCCTTTCTATAACTTCAATTTCTTTTGACATGGCTTATTTCCAATGTTTACTCACTACAATTTCTTCAAATAAGACTGGATCACTTTCAGTCACCATCATTACATTCAAATTTCCTTCTTTTGACAAACCTTCTCCTGTTACATAATCTACCATCCATCTTTGTGCTCTTCTTGCTTGTGCATCCCTCCTTTAAGATGAATTAGGTGAGGTACTATCCAAATAGGCTTCATTGCCTTCGTCATTTTCATCAACTTCTTTTGTTTCTTGATCAACTTCTCATGTAGTATCACCTTTATCTTCTCAATTCAATTCATTTTGCTAAGTTTTCATCTCAAATTTGCTCTAGTCCCAACTTTTTTCTTCTTCAAACATTATGTCTTTGCTAATAATAATTATATTTTAGATTGGATCATATAACCTCTATGTCTTAGATTCATCACTAACGCCCAGAAAAACACATTTTTTGCTCTTATCATCCATTTTAGCCCTCTTCTAATATATGTGCATGTGTTACACATCCAAAGATATGAAATATGCCACCACGGGTTTTGAACACTCCATGCTTCTTTCAGAGTCTTGTTCTCTACTGCTATTGTTGGGCATCTATTCTAAATATGCATAGACACTCATAGCTTCTGGCAAAAAAATCTTGGGGACCTATTTCTCAATTAGCATAGAATAAATTACATTCATAATTGTCCTATTCTTCGTTTCAACAACACCATTCTGCTAAGGAATGTAAGAAGTGTGGTCAATTATTTAAGTATGCAATGTGTGACAGAATTCTTCAAATTCATTTTAGAGAAACTCTTTATTATTTGTCCCTAAACACAATATGTGTGTTCCTATTTTCTTCTCAACATGGGCTTTGAACTTCTTAAATACTACAAGTGCCTCTATTTTCTCACACAAAATATACATCCAAGTTTTTAGAGTAAAATCATTAATGAAACTTAGAAAATACCTTTTATCACTGTGTGAAGCTGGCCAGATAGGACCACATATGTCTAAATGTACTAGCTAAAGCTCTTTGGATGCTCTTCATGAGCTTTGGCTTGAAAAAGGTCTTCTAGATTGCTTCCCAGTTAAGCATGTGTGACATGTTTTCTACGAATGTGTCAAAGATGGTAAATCAACCACCATCTCTTTGCAAACTAGTGTGCTCAAGGCCCTATAGTTTAAGTATCCAAATCGACAATGTCATAGGTAGGCTTCACTAATTGAGACAGTTTCTGTTTGTAAACACAAGAATTATTTTGGATTCATAGATGTTGTCACATAGAACATCTTATCCTCACTCTTGTCAGTTTTCATAATTAATCCTTTCCTAGAATGAAACACCTTGTAACAGCCATTTGAAATTATAATGGCTAAACATTTCTCTTGTAGTTGTCCTATACTCAGTAAATTATTCTTAAGGTCAAGAAGGTAATAAATCTCAGACAATATATTAAGTTATACCGTTAATGTGCATCCTAACACTTCCTTTTGTTACAACTACTCTTCCTCAAAATTTGAAAACCATGCCTTGTTTCCTATCATGTGATTGTTACAACTGAATCAAAGGACTACCATTCTTTCTACTTGTGGTTGTTGTGGATACTCATAATCCATCAATAAAATCTCTTTTTCTTCATCAAGCTCTGCATAGTTTTCTTTCTTTTCCCAATCAGGATATTCATACTAAAATGCCTGAGTTTGTCACATTTGAAACACTTAATGGTGGCTTTATTGAAGGATTGTTTTCCTCTCCCCCTACCTCAACCTCCTTTGAACACACTGCGACCTCGGTTTTTGCTAGGTTGATCCTCTTAATTGTTTCTACTATTGGTTTCTTCATGAGTTGCCTTCAGCACTTATTTCTCCTCATGTAACCACTGCATTCTTTATTCATGTATGAGTAAACTCTCATGCAACTCATTAATGGTCAGTACACTGGTGTCATTGGATTCTTCTATAACACATACTACATAGTTAAATTTAGGTGTCAATGATAGCAAAATTCTACTTTTCATTGTACTTTGCTCCATCGTTTCTCCATTATATTTATTTTTCTAACCATAGTCAAAGTTCATCCCAAAAAGCTTTCGACTTTTTCTTCTTTCTTCTTTCATGGTGAGCAATTCAAACTCCTTTTGTAAGGTTTGGAGTTGTGTCTCTTTACTCTTATGGAACCTTGATACTTTTTTTTCATGGAAGTCAAAATAGCTTTTGATGTCGCTTTTGTCAAGAATTATTTTCAAGATCTCCCTATTAATTACTTGGAATAAGAAATTTGTAACCTTCAAATCTTTGAGTTTGGCCTCCTATACAACTCTCTTCTAAACCTCACTTCTTGATTCGGATCTAATTATTAGTTCTATAATATCGTCTTCTACCAAACTTTACTCAAGACAAAATTTCTCATGGATAAAAATTCATACCGATCATCAAACTTGGAAATATATAGTTACACAAATTTATAAGTTTACATTTTGATTCTTTAGATTATGGTCACATCACACAGGATTAGCTTTTTACTAGACGAATAGTGACAGTTTGCAAGTAATCGCATTGTCCGCAAAGTTGTGAAGTCCCTTGTGAAACTCTGATACCAATTGATAGTATACTTAACTGTCTGATTTTTTTGTGTTGGGTCTTTTGTGTTGTTAGATAAGAGAAAGACTAGGCATAGAAAACAACTGCATATGCATTCGTGTTATTCAATCAAAAAGTAAAGTGATTGTATAAAATTGTTTAAAAAAAACAAGCTGCACCGGATTACATTTTCATGCCTAGAATGTAATCCCTAATTTATTGGAATTGCCCGACGAAACAGGAACACAATCCACAAATGAAACAGAATGGAAACAAAACAAGATAAAGTTGACACATCTACCCATGGTACACCCACGTCACATTTTGGTGGTAACCGTTGATGCCTTAGGTTGCATCATCGAACTTATCTTAGTTACAGTCTTCTAGATCTACTAAGGAAAAAACGGAGGAGAGGCTTAAGGTTATGGAATTTCTTTTTCATGGCTGCTCTCACCTTTGTGACATTAACTCAAGTCCATACACTCAAGAAGCACCATGATATTATTGAAACTAGCGATGGCAAAACAGGTAAACTCTATCAGCCCGTCATAATATGGCGGGATGGTTGATGTTTTCAACCCATCAGCCCGCTCCGGCTCATCCCGCTAAGTCTCGTCAATCCGTCGAATCAACCCGCGGAATGGGACGAGTCAACCCACGGTCCGCCTAATTAATAAAAAATAATTTTTTATTATAATAAAGTTAATTATAAAGATAATATATAATATTAAAAATTGTAAAAATAGAATTAAAAAATTTTCACTCTCACAAGAAATATTCTCTTTACTAAAACACAAGTTTCTCTTTCCTCTTCTCCTTGTTCATCCTAAGGACTAATTATTTTTATTTTTATAACTTGAATTAAAAGTATAAAAATTACTCAAACGAGACCAATGTGAAATTTTACCAAATAAAAAAATATAGATATTTGAATTTTTTAATATAAAAATATAAATTTTAATGTTATATATATATATATATATATATATATATATATATTATTATTTATTATTATGTAAATTTTATTATTATTTTAAATTATAATTTTTTAATATAATGTATTAATTTATATTATTAAATTAATATATATATATATATATTAAATTATTGATAAATAAATAATAATTTTATTATTAAATATTTTAAAAATTGATTTAAAAAAATAAATTATTTTTAAAAAATTATGATAAATCAACCCACCAACCTACCTTTTGTTGGGATAAACCAACATCATGATTATAACCCATCAACCGCCCCCCTACTGTTGACAAACCAAAAGCAAAACGAACCTAACTATAACCAATTTTGGTAAATACAAGCTGTCTTCTTGGAATATCTCTTTATTTACTATTTCAAAATTAATAATTTACAACTATAAAACCATTACAAAATATTACACTCCAGTAAATAATTTCTTATCACATTCAAAATTGTCATATTGTCCAATTTGTTGACGTTACCTTTTTCGTTAGTGCTAGTCTGTGCTAAAATAGGTCGAATTTGAAACAACCCCAATGTTTGGAAGGAATCGAGTGATAACTGCAGAAATAAAATTACTACAAAACATTTTCATTTGTTGTGTGGTTTCAGAAAACCCGAACGATGGGGTTAAGGATAATGAGCCATAACTGCTCTCTGCAAAAATAGATAATGAACTAATGGAAAATACAGTTTTATACATGCTAAGATTTAATCACACTTAGCCTGGATTGAGTCCCTCACATTTGAAAACCTATTTTGGTAGTCACCGGACCAGCAATTCGATGTAAACGAGGACAAGAAACAAAAAGAACCTAATAAAGATACACTCAACATAATTATACAAGGGAACAAAATCATATCAATCGTCATTGACTAAGATGTCGCTCACAAAACCACTTAACTATCGCTGATAAGCACCAAGTAGAATACAAGGATTCTGATAGGTGGAAATATTAGCTCTACAAAGGCCTTCGATCTAATGCGTCGTGTTAACGATTGCAGCCTAGCTAGACATCATGACATGATCAATAGCCTGAAGTGCTTGATTGGAAAAAAATCTTACATCAACATCGGGATCCTCACTGAGCTCAACCAGACTAGGTCGGATGGTCTTTTCCACAACCTAAATGGAAATGGTGTTCGCAGAATAAGAGTGAAACAAAAAGAGAAACAGAGAATATACGAGGAAAGAAAGCACAATAAAGGTTTATCATATTACAATAGAAGTAAGAAATGCTTAGTTGCTTACAGATTGATCCACAATGGGGAAGATTGACTCCAAGACCTTAGCCACATTGAACTTAATGTTGGGCACTCTATAAGAGGGATACAACATGGAGCAAGTTAGAAAGGTAATTGTAACATTACCCTACACCATAACCACGCTTAAAAAGCTAGAATACCTGTCTTTAGATGCAGTAATAACAACAGGCAACAATTTTGAACAAGTGATTTCAGGGCCCATCACAGGAGCAAGCAGAGAGATGGAATGAAGTATGGTCATTCGATATAAATAATGTGAATTGCTAATCATCTCCAGTACCTGTTTCATACATGCCAATACCCGTTATTTGTAAGATACATTCGGTAGATGAACTAAAAAGGTAAAGAATAGTATATTATATTAAATGCAAAATCATAATATGCATCTTAGACCTTAGGAAAGGGGGGAGGGGAGACGTGTAACAAGCTTGATATGAAGTTACATTGGAACTGGAAAAAAAAGACTTAACAGAGAACAGAACTGAAGAAAGCTTGGACTGAAATGGATATCGGACTCGAGCGTCATATCTAGAAGCCAAATAACATAGACTATTTTCATTAATATTAATTGTTCAGCATATCACTTCATATTTAATTAAACATGAGGACAAAATATGATTATGAGTACGTTATTCCAGTACCATTATCATCAGAACCAGGCCATGGCATCGCCAAATTGCAGTAAAGCACCACCATAGGACAATCGCGTTGCAGGTTTCTCAAGGTGGAATGGCATAAAGTTTTACCATAGCAGTTATGACAGTAACTGCAGATAGAATGGTGCAGCCTTTATGCCTTAAAAAGAAAGTGAAGAAGAGTCTCATTGTTAAGACATCATTTGTAGCAGTGAAGACGGTTTTAGCATGGGAAATTCAATCATGCTCAGTTCAAATATTCTGTTCTGGAAGCCAACACTGGAATGAGACCGATTTGACCATCTATGGAAAATTACCAATTTGGTTTTTTCAGCTAGCCTCTCTGTTCCTGGGTCTCTATATCTTTGTTTCCTTCCCTTTCTCTGAATCTTTGTTGCCCTATATTTCTTGCATCTCCATTTCCTTTTCCATTCTCTCTATTTCTGTGATCTAAGAATCTCTTTCTATTCCTCTTTTGTAAGTCTCTGCTTGTCTCACAGTTCTACCAGTCTCTGTTCTGTGCTATCTGAACTTATGCTACGAGGCAAATGATATTTATCCCTTGTTTGTGAACAGCTACATATTTTTGGTGAGTATTATATCTTTCAACGTTTCTAGTTTACTATTCTTGTTATATGTTATTATGTAGCTTCTTCCATACTTCTGTCATAGGCTGCAAAATCTGCCATTTATAGCATAGGATGAATGCAAACATCTTTGATCTCAATCTAGAATAGTGACATAGTGATAGTGATGTGAACATGACCTATGATAAGGGCTAAAGCAAGGGAAGCAAATAAAGTTCTTCAACAAGTATTGTTGATTGACCAAATTGTGTTTTAGATTAATCAATTAATGGGCTTTAATTTAGTTTTATTGCAAGTTGTAATAAGGGCCTAATTGAAAATTTAGTTATCAGTCTTTGGGAGACCAAGAGGGTGCATAACTATTGACTTTTGGATGCCACAATTTCAGTTACAATCAATCATTTAGTAGTTTTCAATTCCCAGGTTAATAAATCATTATTAGCATTTATTTTCCTTTAATGAATATTTGTAACTCTGATGGCAAAGCTTCTTTATAAGCTGAACCATTTTTATCAAAAATAACAAGTTGAGTTTATTTTTAGAAATATTATAGTTTATCTCTTTTATCTTAGTGAGAGTGATTCTCCTAAGTTCTTGAGTGATTCAAGAATATTTGGCTGTATCAAAGGACTTTCACATCTTTTGTGTGTTGCCTTCCTTGGAAAGAGTGATTCTTTCCTTCTACCTTATCACTAAATTCCTAAATTTCCTACAAGGTTCTAACCTTAAAGATCCTAAATTACCCATATCACATAGGTGAAATATTCACCATGTACTCACCAGTGCTTTCAAGTTCTAACTGGCCCTCACAATCATTTGGCATTCCAATTGATTCGGGCATTATTCATCTCTGAAAAACCGTATTTTCTAACCTTATGCATTTCTAAAGAAAATATTTTTTTCAGTGACCTGATGACCTTACAAAAACCAACTAGGTTGTGGTATAACACACACACAACATTCATATAGGCAAGGTTATCAAACTCTCGAGTCAACTCGCTGACTCTTACGAGTTAACGAGTCAAATAACCAGATACGAGTAAACTCTTTTTTGAGTAGACTCTGAATCAAACTCAGTGAACTCGGTAGACTCTAAGTAAACTCTCGAGTTAGAGGCGAGTCACCGAGTTTGAAGAAAAAGAAAAACTTAAATCTTCTTTGACTCTCCTCATTTTTTTTCATAAGTTCAGATCTCGCTCTTTCCCACTATCCGTCACTGCTTATCATCGTTGTGGTCGTCACCGCATGCTTGTCCTTGGTTGCGCAGTGGTGACGCGACACTCACTTGGTCGCGCACGTTCACCTGGATCACGCGGTAGTCACACGACATTCACTTGAGTCATGTGGTGGTCACGTTCCTTATCGTTACTCGCCGTTGCGCACCGTCCTCTAGGTTAGATTGACGAATTGAGGAGTTTGTGATTTTAGGGTTTTTGAATAGATAATACAGGTTAGATTGAGAGATTAAAGGATTTGGGATTTTAAATGGAGAAATTTTAGACATTTAAGATTTTTTTAATTATTTTTTTAATTTTGATTATACTATTGTACAAATTCAATTAAGTTTTTATTTTGATTATTTTAATAATGAGGAATTAATATTATTATATTTATTATTAAATTGATATTTTTCATATAAAGTAAACTCTTACGAGTCTACGAGTCGAGTTTACGAGTCGAATTTACCGACCTCTCACGAGTTTACGTAGACTCTCGAGTCTAATAACCTTGCATATAGGCATAGTGTATCACAGTAAAATAATAATTTAAAGCCAAGACATAAACCTGTGGAATTATGTGTTGCATTGCCCACTCAGGACCAAATTCTTCAGCTAGGCGCTTCAAGTTGTTAGCTGCTGCCTCCCGAATGGAATGAACCTACAACAAACAATAAGGAGGTTAATGACAATAATCATGTAGAAAATGTGGTTTCATAAAATATCCTCAAACTATCACGTGGAGTCCACAAACCTTGTCCTGTAACCACTGCATACAAAGAGCACCAAGCTTGTCATCAAAAAACCCAACACCCAATTGACTTGCCAATAAGGGTATATATTCTATTATTGCAAGCCGAACCCTCCAATGCCTATCCTCAGCAAGCTCAACAATGGCTGGTAACAAAGATTGTGATAACAAATCAATTCCAATAACCTGCAACAAAGATATCAACAACATATCATTGAAAAGTTTGCTTTCTCTTTATATGAAACTTGTTTTGCATATATATTATGTAGAAGGTGGTATAAGATTGTATGCTCTGTGCTAAAATCAGCATTATCAGAAATATAAAAAGGAAACTAGGTTACCAAAAGTTATAAAGCAATTTGCAAACAAAAACCACTCATACTCTACAAACCTGATTCACTTGATCAAGCTTGCTTATAATATTGAGGCGCACATCAGGAAATTCATCCTTCAAAAGGGAGAGGAAAATAGGAAGAAGCTGCTCAATTGTTGCATCCTGCAATAAAGAAAAAAACAAGTAATCAGGTATAGTGGAATTACAAGTATTGAAGCAGATAAATGGTATGCTGAACACAAACCAAACATGAAACAGATAACATTCACATATGCTTTAACTCTCAAGGTTACATTACACCATAACAAATGTTGTTAGCCAGGATATGTATAGAGCTTACTGAACTCGGTCTTGTTCATTCTTATGAAGTGGTGAATTCATGTTATGCTAGATTTCAAGCCCATGGTGGAAGTTAAAATGAAATAGAATATATTAATTTCCATTCCACTCCCATTTTAAATTTTAAAAAATTTAAATAGAAATTAGAATCCTAGTATTCTTGTAAACATAATACCTTGAAACAATCGCTTCATAAATGATGATTCTGGTTAACTACTGCACATGCAGATAAACTCCACCGCATTTATGTCAAATAAACTTCCAAAAGACAAAAGTACATATTTAGGAAAAAATATATTTCAGTACATAATTGCTTTTAGGTTAGTGGCCATACACCACAATCGGGTGATTCACATGTGAAACTGTAAAATATAAGGTACGACCCAAAGCACAGAATGATGTCTACATCTCAGTTTAGACAAAAGGAAAAGGAAACATAAAAAAGTCGATTTACTTTTTTGCACCTAGGTACCAAAAGAAAACTTAGTAATTTGAAGGACATGCAAACCAATATTTAAGCATGAACGATATGGATATGATGTTTCTTGCTTAGACCACAATAAGTGTAAAGAATGACACTGATACTCATACCTTTCCTAAAACTGGAGCCATTCCCATTATCACTGAAGCCAAGGCAGAGCGAACATGCTGTGAAGAATCCGTTGACAGTTCCTGCAAATGTTGTTGCAAAGTAGTTTAGCCTGTAAATATAATCTTTAGTATAATGAATTTCAAGACCAAAACGAAAGACAAACACCTTCACACAAGGAAGAATATGCTGAATTGAAAGATCTGGATTTAAAATCCTGCAAAACTTGGTCACTTTCCCAGCAGCAGCAATCCGTACTTCTGCTTCATTGTCTCGAAGCAACCGCACATAGGCAGGGACCAATTCGGTTCTATACAAAATAATAGTCATAAGAGATAATCTTAAAAAACATAAACAGATAAATAGATAGGACATTGAATCTGGACCTTAGTAAATATATTATGAAAACAGTATAGGAATCACAAATTTTGACAGCTAATGTTTAAAACCATAACCATGACTACAACAACCCTACAACTAATTAAACACAGATCACAATACAATATACTGACATGATATATTAAAAATTATATGATAGAAAGATATGCAGCATGTTAAATACTCAGAAAAAATAATACCTGGTTGGTTCAGGGCCTACAGCCTCACAAAGCTCATACAATTGATTTGCAACCATGTATCGCACTCGCCACGACTTATCCTGTTTTGGATCAAATCAGATCAAAAGGTAAATTAATCAAATGAGAATGGGGCCTGGGTTTGGTGGAAACACATTCCACCCACAAGGTGATTTTGTCATTTATTCTTGACATATCTTAGAAAGTTTTCTTTTTATTTTTAATTTATGTTTTCCTTCTTACGTACACCAAAAAGATATTGAATAGAATATTCGGTTTTTTTTATCAAAATATTGAAAATTATTTTTTATATATCCTAATGCAGTCAGTCCTGCAATGGAACAAACTATGTGAAAAATGGTGATATAATGAGGCATAATAAAGTTAGAAAGGTGTATTTGAGAGATGGGACAAAAGTGGAAGAAAAGGATCCAAGAGAAACTAGAGATGGAGAAAATCTACTCCTTAAACGCTCAACAAAACCAAGCAAAAGGATGGAGAAGGAGGCATCAGTAATCTTATTTGCAGATTAAAAACAAAACAAAGCAAAAATGGAGAAACCATTATTGTTTTCAGCTCCTATTTTCTAGTCAAAGCTGATCCAGATTTTAGATACAAGGAACTATTAAAAAAACAAACAACGCATAGAATCTTCATAAAAACAAATCAAGGATGCAAAGGACCGGCATCTCAATTTTTTCACAATATTGTGCAAAAAAAGTAGATACAATACATATTTACAAGGGTGCTACTTATTAAATTACTATCAGATTATACATATTTGAATAATTATATTTTTGATGAAATTTAGATGTATTTGGAGAGTATAACCATTGTGGTTAATACAAGGTGACATGGGTGTGTCATTTCCTTTAAAACTAGAGTAAATTATATATTCATATATCTTGAAATACTTTGAGAAATAAACGCAAGGTTGTTTTTGTTTTGTTGAAATTCAGAAAAATAAATTATGTTTTTATTATAGACAAGACATGTGTTAGAATCATTACTTCCTAGTATTATCATTAGACCTAAGTATAAGGTGTTGAGTGTGGGAAACCTCCTACATCTGTATCTAGATCTGCACCTAGGGTTCTAATTGCAGTCTCTTGCTTAGTTTTCTATGTTTCATTATATCAGATTTCCATTATAAATAGAAGAAAGGGAGAAGGGTCCAATAAGCCCTGAATACATTTTTTCTCTATTAATCTTAAGTACATGTAATCTTTATTAAAGGCATTGACTCTTTGAGAAAGGATAAATCTTTTGTGATGGGGAAACCCTCTGAGGAGAGATTTATCTCCTATTCATTGTTCCTTTCATCCTATTTGAAAAAATCATTCTTTTTTCTCTACTTGGTTACAAAAACTCCTAAAGAAAACTTGTAGCATAACATCTTAGATAATGAACATCACTAGATAGACCACATAGTTTTGAGCATAGTGAAGAGAAAACTAATTACGTGATTACAGGCAGTTTTTTTACTCCAAAAAATGCACCTGTGAGAAGTTGACAATAACCGGTAGTATATGTGTGACACAATCTTGTGGCTCCAGTAGCTTCCCAAGTGCAGCACAACCCTCCACAGCCAACAATCTAACTGAATCTTGATCTGAACCATGTTTAAAACTTAAATTACATATTAAAAAAAAGTCCACTTGCATTAAGGAAAATTATCATTGAATCTATGGTTAACAAGCCAAGAAATCTAGAAAGAATGAGAAATATGTTTTCAATTACCATCCTTAGTGAGATCCTCAAAAATTGACATAGTGTCTGCCTTCAAATGAGTGTATTCAACAGTTGCAGCAAACTTCCCAAGATTTGATGCAGCAGATCTTCTAACCATAGGCATGTCATCTTGACACAACAGATTGTATATTGATCTCAACTCTGTCTTTGACATTTCTGGTGCACTAGGGTAAGCAATATGAAATAGACCACATGCTGATACCCGAGCAGTGAACCATTCACCTGCTGCCAACCTCTGGAACAAAATTTTAAAAAATTGACAGGATGTTGGACAGTAAAATGAATGTAAATTGCCAGCATAGCAGGATCTATACAATACATCATTACAAATCAAGACTTATAATAGGTAGCCTACAATAGACTCATAATAGGTCTAACCTTCACAAAAACCCACCATGGCAAGGGTTTGTAGTAACCTTTTTATTATTCTGATAGAAACTAACAGTCTAACACGGATACATCAATCAACAACTTTTTGGTTTCACGAGTTTACTTTACAGGAAACAGTTAAAAATCCAAGAAAAGTAAATGAATGTCATAATCAGAACAATAGGAACTGGAAGAATGTAAACAAGGACAAACTTTACTTACAAAACTACAAAGAACAATCAATCAATACAGACTTCAACACATGGTAACAACAAAAGCGTTCATATAGAATGTACAGTATAATCTGACCTTCACCAAAGGGATGAAATACTCAACCAAATCACTTTCCCTCATTTGTGATCCAATCCTACAAAGTGATTCCCCAGCCTTATCTCTCACACAAGTTTCTTCAACAGTGCAAAGCGTCTCCAAAGGCGGGAGCAACACATGAGCATGTTCCACTCCCCCAACAAAAGGAACAAACACGCCCAACTCTTCCGCCATAGCAAGAAGTACCTCATCATCATCATCATTATTCTCACCCAAAAACGGTATCAACTCCCTACGCGTTCGCTCCTCCCCGAGAGCCCGGGCAATCGTAGATAGCTTCCTAATTGAGTTCAATCGCAGCTGAATGTCATCATTTTTCAGTTCATCTATAAGCACTGCTATGGGATACAGAGGCTCTTCAACCAGGGACATTTTCTTTTCCTCTCAAAATTTCTAGCCATAACAGTTACAATCAAATTGTTAGAAAATACTACAAAATTGTCAAGCTAGCATAACATTACAGTGTAAATTATTCAACATAAAAAAAAGGGAAAAAAAACAAAAGGAATTTCTGAACTAATTACTACGGGGTTAACTAACTTAAAAAATGAAAAACATTACCCTCAGCTCAGTTCAGAGGGTTACGTCAGTAACTTTATACCACGATTCATCCAAATTATTTCTCGAAATAAAAATTAAACAAATAAAAATGCTGTGAAAATGGCAAGTAAAAAATTGTCAACAAAACCCTAGAGATAAAATCCAGTGACAGAAGAACGAAATACCGTACCGTGTCGCGCGGCAATGTCGATAGCACGAAGTCGAAGTTCACCGAAACGGGACTGAGAAGAAATTGATTGCGATACTCTCTGGAATCGTTGAACAGACTCAAATAGCGGCTTTGGAGGTGCCACTTATATGGCCAGCGCCAACTGAGCGATTTGAAAGAAAAATTGAAACTCCGAAAACCCTAACTCTTCGGAGGAAGACGAGGACGAAGGGAGTCTTCTCAGAACCCGAATCCTTTGAATTCTTGTGTTTTAAACGCAGGTTGCATCAACCTTTCCTTTTGTTTTTTAAATTACAAGATTATAAGGGGGAATTTCTCTCTAATCAAAACAATTCAAAACATTTTTTCTTTTTTTTTACAAATTAAAAAAAAAACTTAAATCAACTTATATTTATCTTGAATACATCTAAATATTGCTTACTAACAAATATTATAATATAATATGTTGTACATATTAATTAATTAAAAGTTATAAAATTCCTAGCACTACTTAATTAATTAAAAGTTATGCAATCTATAATAACCCACCCTCAACAACTGTTGACTTCTTTATGACACTAATAATAATTACAATGATGCTTGTCAATAAACAATTTAATCAAACAAATATGAATTAAAATTAAAATAATTAGAAGGTTGACTTTAAAAAAAACAATTGAATTGAATGTTCTAAATTAATTAATACAATAATTTAAATTAAATTAGGACATATAAAATGAAACGAGAATTATTTATCAATAAAATTAATATTTTATTATAGATTATAATATGAATTAATTTAAATTAATTAAAAATATTTATATAAATAATTTTATTTTTATTTTAAGTAATTTTCTATAATTTTAAACCATCCATAAATAAAATTTATAATAAAATATTTATTTTCATTCATAATTTTTGCTAACTATGCAACAATTTTTTGGTTTTGCAGGACCCACGCAAACACTGTTATGCACTGCGACAGAGCGCAGTTAGTTACTACCGCGCTTTCCATTGAAGAACATTTTTCTTCAATGGCTTAGAAGTTGAAGCGTTCCTTATCCTTTTCTCTCATTCTTCTTCCCATACCTCTCTCTCTTTGTAGTTTTCCTTTTTCTATCTATCAATGTTTTGTTTTCATTCAAGTTCCATTAATCACAACCTCTGTTTTTAGTAACTTTCCAATATTATGATAATCATTAACCGATCTAAAATGCCACGTCCTCGTTTTGCTCCTTCCAATTTCCATTGATAATGGTCAATAGTAAACATTTTACTTCTATTGTGCTTTATATTTTATGCAAATCATCAAACAAAATGTTAGTGACTCTTTCTCTGATTACAAGTTTAGATTGCTCTCTCTGTCTTGTAATTGTAATAATAATGATATTTGTTCTGTTTTCTTTGTTATATGGTGAATGATTATTTATTTAATCGATTATTATTTTATTATTGTTCCAATTTTTCAGAAGATGAAGAAGGTTAACGCGTTCATAAACAGTGATGTTCTCACTGAAATTCTGTCCCGTGTTCCCGCGAAGGAGTTGCTGAGTTTGAAGCTCGTTTGTAAGGAGTGGCATTGCGTGATTTCGAGCCGGTCCTTCGCGAAAACGCAGCTGAGAACAACCGAGGTGGTGTTAACGGGGTTCATTTTGCAGGAGAAGTTCATGTGGTGCAATGAGGACATTAAAATTGTTAGCTACATTTTTGTGGAAGAGATGGCAAGAGGGGGTTCCAAAGTGAACCAAACGGTTTTTGATTTTCTGCCAGAAGAGGTTGTCATGTTGGCCTCTTGCAAAGGGTTAGTGTGTTGCCGCAGCTGTTTCCCTTCTGAAAGGCCCTTTATATATGTATGTAACCCCTGGAGTAGGGAGTGGGTGAAGTTGGAGTGGCCTTGGGCCACTTCTCAGAATGAAATAACCAATGGTCAAAGAAATATGGCATTAGCATTAGCTGTTGATATTGAGCCCTCAAAGGGTTTTGTTGACACATTCAAGTTGGTGAGAGTTAACCACGTTGCGGTACAAGGGGATAACGATGAGGATGAAGAGGAAGGGGAACTGTACTTTACATTTGAATTGTATTCGTCAGAGATAAGAGCATGGAGGAAATCCAATGAAACATGCCAATGTTATAGCAAGTTGGTCAATAATGAAGGGATATACATAGGGGGTGTCTTGCATTGGCTCCATGGTGACCAAGTCCTCACTTTTGATGTTGAGAATGAGTTTTCTTGGTTGGTTCCGGCACCGATTCCGGTGTCGGAGTTTATGGCTGTTCCTGAAGTATGCATTGGGGAATCTGAAGGAAGACTGCAGTATGTGGTTGTGTCAGAGCAGGGTGTGCATGTGTGGGGTCTTGAGGATTGTTATGAGGATAAATGGATTCTTGTGTATTGTAAGTCTCTGGAGGAGATTGAAGGAGAATGGCCTCGGTTCTTTATAAATTTGAAGGTGCATGTGATGGAGAGGGTGAATGGCCCGTGGGTGAATCCTCTAGCCTTCAAAGATGGGCTCTTGTTAATGAAGTGTGTGAATCTGTACCTCTTTGATGTTAAGAACAACAAAATGGCTCAGGCTTGCTCCATTCTGGATCTGAAATCACAGTGTATGCTCAATCCTACTGTATTTGCCCATTCACTGAGCTTGGTTCCATTAAGTACTGCATAGAAGGTGCCTTTATTCCCAAGGGTTTGGATATTAGTATTATAGTCTCTGGTTGTTGTTTTTTTTCAGTTCACACAAATATACTTGCTTTCGTTTTCTAATTTTTTATAGGACTCCATGAGTTGTTTAGAACACTTTATATTTGACCCTGTTGAGACATAAAAATGAATGGATTGTTCATTATTCGGGTATTGGATCTCTTCGCTCAGTGGTGGAAAAGTTTGAATGAAAAGAACAGGATGAAGTGGCTCATACAAAGTTCTGTAAGACCATTCATTCATTCCGTAGAAGTTGATGTCTGAATTGATGCTAATTTATTGGAGTTGACATTTTGAAAAAAAAAAAAAAGCATTAATTTTACTATCAAGAAAGAAAAATATTAAGGAGCCTGCATCCATGTCTATAGTAGGTTTTGAATATTGTCCAAAATAACAACTATAATATCGTGTTTTATGTGAGGCTTATTCAAAACAAAACAAAAAAAAGTCAAGAAAAGGTGTATGCTATTAAGATCTTTGAATAACTTTCGCGGTAAATATTTATAGAAGAGAAATTAAAAAAAAATTCAATAATTTGTTTATAAATTAAAATTAAATTATCCACAAATTAGAAATAAAAAGATTTTAGAAATTACATTAAAAAAATTTACAAATTAACTTTTATTTATGCATTTCATTTGAAAATGCATATCATTGTCTTTAAACCAAAATTCTTGAAATTTAGTTTTCGAGAACAATGCGGGAAATGCCTCTCTTCCCGCTTTCGGCACATCACTTGAATTAGGTCATATGCACATGTGATGTGACCATGCAAAATTCTGCGTGGCAATCAGGTGATTTTCTGAATAAGAAATTTCCAGAGACCTTGATGTTTATTCAGTAAAACCCTATTCCACACTGTCATTTTCAATCATTCAAGCCAGGTGTTAACCATGCACGCAGGAGAAGACAAGAAGAAAAACCAAAGTTTTTTGATAGAGCTCCCGTAGAAAGCGTTGGAAAATCTGAAGAAACATAATTTTAGCTTAATTACTTTCTATTATAAATACCGAATCTATATTTTTATTATATTACTGTGATCACTAATCTTTTATTAAAATATTCATAAAGATTTACGGTAATGTTTGAAAAGTCATCAAAACCGTCTATTAGAGATTATTGTTTTTGCAAGAGAAAAAGGCGTTCGTCATAGAAAAAGAAGAGTATTTTATCAGAAAAAAGTGGAATTTGGTATAAAAATTATGTTTCCGTCCACAACAGGTAAGACTATTCGAAACCATATGATGTTCAACCTTAAACAAAGAGATTAATTAAAAAAATAATAAGAATTAAAATTAATTAAACCTTGTCTTAATCACCCTTAGAATTATATTATTTTTTTTATATAAATGTTATTGTTTCATCCGATTATAATTCAATTTCTTAATAATGTATCGATAAAAATCTCCTTCTCTTGTAGTAAAATCTATTTATATGACAATATCGAAATATTCAATTTCTTTGAAGTTCTTTATACAAACATTACTAGCATAAATACAATTAAAACATATCATTAAAAAATATACAAAAATCAGAATAAAAAATTTCATTCAAATACTTTTTGTAACAAGTTTCAAGAGTAAAACAATAAGATAATAAAATTTATGAATGAATAATAAAACTAATACATGTAAGAAAATAAATGTTCTTTCATCGTCATTTAAAAAAAATAGAAAAGTAACTAAAAAAATTAGATTTGATTGTTTAAATAAAAATCAAAATAAGAGAAAAGAAAAACATGAAGTAGAAGAATGGAACAAAGAAAAATAAATAAATTATAACTGTAATTTACAAGAAATCAAAAAATGAAAATTTAAGAAAAATGATGAATAACTATTATATCATCTTATACATATATGTTATATATTATGGATGGACTATAATATATCATTATACATTGAAATAAAGTTGCAAGTGTGGTCCATAGTGTCATTGTGACCTACTTCAACACCGGTTGGTCAAACGGGTCTTTGAAATTGGCCTTCTCACTGAGATCTTGGAATTCGTCCACGAGATTTTGAAGCCTTGCAACAAACTCGATTAAAAGAGAGGCAAATGTTGCCAAAGACAAAGAGCTTGCGCTTTCATATACTTTGGAATCTTGCTCAAGTAACATGCTATCTCCTAAAAATGAGAGGCGTGGCCATGATATTTTATTGCACATCATGCTTTGTGAAATGTGCAATTCAGGAAGTGAAGGCTCTAAGCTTATGTTAAGTCTTGATTCAGCCCCTGTTTCACTGACGGAAGAGATGAGTGAGTGCTTGCTTTCATGGTCCTTGAGATCAATCAAATTATCATGATCATCAACTTCTTTGGGCTTTTTTGCAACCTGCCAGCTCTCTGAATTGACTAAGAGGAACGACTGTTGGTCAATCTTCATCTGCAATTGCTCAGCAGCGTCATGCACTTTCAAGAGTATGTCTATATTGCTTAGCTTTTCCATCTTTTCCACTTTGCTTCCAAGTTGACGCAATACTTTAGCCCCTTCAGTGCCAACCCTCTGAAGTTCATTACTGAAAACCAGCCTCTTTTCTGGGGGTGCCTGCATATATATGGAATTTGAATACCAACAATGTATAGCAGTAATACCAACATACGTGAAAAAAATCTACAAAAAAAAACGAAGGAAATTTTTTCTGAATCATTTTTCGTCATTATCAGATTCCACATTTTTAGGGTGAGTTAGAAGCCCTCAACATGGTCTAAAATATCATCATGGTTTCCTCAATATAGATAGTACAATGTGTGAACCAGCAAAATTCTCCTGCCTTCACAAACCAACTGATATATGACCCATCATCTACAATAATTTGGTTTTGTCACTTAATTATATTCAGTGAGCATGCGTTAATTTCACTGCAATGATCAGGGGATTTAGACAAAAAGGAACAAATTCTAACAGGTTCGTTTATCTTATATTAAACATGGGGGGAAAGAAAGGAAAAGAACAGAATTACTGGATCTTAGTAGTAGGCAAGTATATTCATGGACTTCGATTGGAGTCTTGAGAGAAATACACTACTTAAAAAATTCAAGCATTTGAGAAAATGTTTTAAGAGAATGCACCAAAGCCATCAAAAAGGAAATAGAAATTGTAATGTTTATCGTGTATCTTAGTCATTGCTCAAGTATCTTCTGAAATTCAACTGGTCAGCTGAACTCTACCTCAACATTTTGGAATAAACCAATCTGCCTTATTTTAAAATATCAAGATGTTCCTCCTAATACCAATATGTTTTATTACCCTTATGTAAATGAATCGATTTCTTGCTAATAATTAATAATATAACATTTTCACGTTCTTTAATATATATATATATATATATATATATATACGCAATTGATGACACAACTTCCTTTCACTGCATATTTATTATGTTAGACTAGTTTTCAGCCTGATCAATTATTAAGTACGCATTGTTCAGCAGTCGATGCATGGTCAAAATTAATCAAAATAGTTAAGTTAATTTAAGGTGTGAATACATATTCTTATATAATGCCTAGTGTATTGGGGAGCTTGCAAAAGATTGAAAAATACATAAAGATTGAAAACGTAAACTTTCCGAAGTAGCAGTTAAAAAAAATACAAAATAACTTTAAAACAGGTAGATAAAGCTCAATAAATTGACAATGTACAGAGCCCATTATTAACCAAAAGTCCATTCATAGTTCAATCACCCGCACCCCAATGTAAAAATAATGACAGAAAGTAACAATAACAAAAATTACAACAAAGCTAACATCTACCACAGATCATGGAAAAAAATGTTTCTTTTACCTGAATTTCTGAGAGTATGCATCCATGCATTGCCATTACCATGAAAGCACAATGCCTCAAAGCTCCGCTGACTTTAACATAGCTTCTCCAAGGATAATTGAATGTCTTGTATGGACCATGTGGTGGCTCCCATAATGCAAAATCTACCTGCAAGGATAAGATAAAATCATAAAATGTAGCATTAGTTTTGGCATTTAGATTACTGACGAAGGGAGAGATGACAACTACAAAATATGAATACCAAAGTATCCTCTTGACTTGACGATTGAACTGCTGCTCTATAGCCACGGTAAAGTGGATCATCCGAGGCTTGATAAACAAGAATTTTTGAAGGGACCCTCTCATATGCAACACATTGCAGGTACCCATTAACACAGCCTAAACAGATTTACAAAGGAACCAGCTCAGAGTGACAACATTATCAAATTAAATACAGGAACTAAGCATAAACAACAACTACAATCTTTGCTAGGTTTGCAACATATGAGGAAATTCAACAAACCTTCTAAAGATGCAGCAACTCCATTGAAATTTTTCACCACCAACTTATGCAGATCCTCCCCGGACCAGATGGGGAATATGAAAATATTTACAAACAAACATATGCCAGCACCAATTGCGATAAGAATTAATCTGTAAAAGGCTGTGGAGAAAAATTCCCTGGTAGTTCTCCCAGATACCAATACAATACAAAATGTCAACAAAAACACACGAAAGCCATATTCATATGTCTTCATTGCAGGCAGTAGCTTCACATAGCTTGCACAAAATCCTGCAGACCACAAAAGCAGAATCATTAATCCTAATTTTTTCTTTTATGAACAAATATTGTAAATAAGCAAAAGAGTTAATTATATTATTTGGCTATAAAAAATACAATATTTTTTATACCAGTTAATGATGACTTAATTACTAGTTGATAATTCACATAGATTGATTAATGAATTAGTAGGCATTTGGAAGAATTTTTAAGGAGATTTTTTGGCTCATGAAAATGATTATGACTTTCTTTTAAGATCTTTTTATCTTATTTATATAAGTTTCACATATAAGCTCAACAAACATAGGGTATATAGAATTTAAAGATGTTATTATTCATGATGTTTTGGTGCCTAGTGACATTGTACTTGTTAGCAAGTTAGTTGAAGATAGCAGCAGCCTAATTTGTATAAAGACAGACTCGCAGGCACCAGATAAACCCAAGTAATGTCAGTAATGAGTGGGACATTCAACTGGTGGCATTAAATATTAAAGGATTCTAATTAAACTTGGAGTACGACCTAGAATATTTCTTAGAATCACCAATGTGTTAGGAAAATAATGTATGAGAGAATGGTTCAGTTGCCTAAATGGGGAAATTTAATGGAAAAAAAGAACATTTAAACACAAAATATTCCACCTGCAATAAATATAGAGAGTACGATAATAAGTTCCTCGAACTTTCCGGACAATACGGCCAACTCAGCAATACACAGTGCAAGCCCTCCAGCGGATACCGTTCCCAATGAACGATTGAACCCTTTGTTCAAAGTCGCACCTACACCAAAAATCACGTAAGCATCACAATAATATTAATAATAAAAATTCATTAAAATGTACTATTTTTGTTCAAAAAAGATGAATCAATCGTTCTTGATAACTGTAATGTGATTATTATAAAAAATAAAAAGATTATTTATCAATAGATTATTAGCAACACTAAATTCAATGTTTTTATTAATAAATATCTTAAAGTTTATATAATATGTCTTTGGAATTCTCTAAACATATTTTTAGAAGAACAAAAAAAGCAAAATCTTTCAAAATATGTATAGATTAAAACAGAAAACTTAAAAAGTTATGTTAGAAATGTGTTGATACACAAATTATAATGAAGGTTTATAAAAAAATTAATTATTTATTTTCAATTATTATACTAAAATGTTCGTGTTCTCTCGGTACAAAGCTATTTTAGTATTTTATTTACTTCTTACAATAAATAATAGGAATGTTAAAAAAATCGCTTGAATCTTTAAATGATTATTATAAAAAGACATAAACTATACGAATTTTTTAACAAAATATCATTGTTAGTATAAATTTTGTAATTAAATAATAATACAAAATTAACTTATATTATTAGTACATAACATGCAATTTTTCTCAAATTTTTAGTCTTTATGATAAAAACCAAAAAAAAAATTATACTTGTAAAGATTAACAACAATACGTAAAAAAAAACTAAATTGAAATGTTTTAAGATATTAAAAGATAAAGTTTTTAGTAATTAAGTTTATAAAAATTAAACTATTCCAAAAACAGAAATTAATGATCTCTGACTATTAAAAAATAAGATTTATTTTTTAATTTTTTTTACATTTTTTTATTATTTATTATTAATATTTTGACAATACTTTTTCATTTGTTTTTTTAATTATTTTCTTACCAAATTTTTATGATTTTATTTTTAATAACTATTTAATAATTAAATTTGTAATGATATCAACTATTTGTTATTATAGTAAAAAATGGACTCAGACATTCATTTGTAATTTTTGTATACATTTTCTCACAATTTTACATCATAGTTATATTTTATTGTAATAATTTACTTTATATTGTGTTAATTATTTTTTTATTCAGAAATGTATCATGGCGTTGTTTTCAACAATAACAATAATAATAATAATTTCAATCAACGAATAATAATAATTTCAATCAAAGAACTTGTGAAGAAAGGAGAGTAGAAATGAAGAGAAGGGGAAGTTGAATCGAGAATGTAAGTACCTACGCTGAATTCGAAGACGACAACGACAGTGAGTATGGCCCAGATTGAATACTTGCTCAACTGTTCCTCCTTTATGTAAATGAAAAGCGAAACCACCGCCAACGATAGTCCCGCCTTGGCCGCGAACACCACTTTCCTACGATCCGATCGCGCCATCTCCCGAAGCTCGCCAAAGAAATCCCGAACGCCATTGCACAACCTAACCACACGATCCGAGAGCGCGTGGCGCACAACGCCGCTGTTGCTGCTGCTGCAATTGGTGCCATTCAGCCTCATCTCTGAAAAATCCTTCCGCGAGAGCAGCCTCTCCTTGCTCCTCTCCGCGAATATCTGCCTCAGCGAACCGTTTCTCGCCGCCATCACCACAATTCTTCTTCTTCTCCTTCACGACATCGTTTTGTGAATTCGCGAGAGCGGAGTGAAAAAGAAGAGAAGAGAAAGAGAGTGAGACGGAGAAGGGGAATGAGCACTTGGCTTTCTGATTACAGTGGGAAGCGTGATGGATAGTATTATTATTATTTAAAGGATTTTCAAACTGTGAGTTACCCACCATTCAAGTACTCAATCATCAAATAAAAAAAAAAAAGCAGAAAAAAAAGTAGTTAATGTTTCCTATTCTGCATGATATTGATAATAGATATAACTATTATTTTATTAAAAAATATAATATATTAGATATTTCTTTTTAAGATAATTTCTTTCTTATCTAAAAGAAATTGTATATTCTCAGTGTTTCGCAAACTTATTTTTAACATCTTTTTTCTCCATTAAAATTTCATACTAGGCCGAACATTTAAAAGAAAAAAGTATTTATTTCTTTAAAAATATTTAATATTTTAGGTAAAAAAACTTGTTTCTAGATATATAATATTTATAAAGTTTAATATAGTATTAATTATTTATTTATTAATCACATATTTTTTAAATTATATTTATTATTGAGAAAAAATAATAAATTATTTAAAATAATTTTAATTAGAACATTTATTAAAATAATATTAATATTAATAAAAAAAATTAAAAATAGTAAACAAAAAACCTTAAATATCATTTATATTTAGAACGAATGAAATATTTGATCTCTTTCTTCTATTTTATATTTATTATTTTTTAATTATAAAGTATCAAAAATTTTATTATTGAGAATATAAATATAAGTTGAAATCTTATATTTAATAAAAATAAATAAAATAATTTATAAATGAAAAAAAAATCATAATTAATATTTTTTTAAATGAAAATAATATCATGTTCTCAGTCATGTCTTAAGAATCTATATATTTCTATTTTATTCTATACTTATATTTTAATAATATTGAAGTTTTATTATCATTATTGGAGTTTTATTTTCATGTGGTTCTCTCTTATTGAACATGTTTCCAAAGTTGCTTTATATATTACAGTACTTGTGTTTTTAATAACAAAATAAAATATCATTTTACTTCTTTAAAAAGGATTATTAAACAACAACATAAAATAAGTAGAACATTTTAATATTTTATAACCAATACATAATTTTAACATAGATATATATTATTTATTATTAAAAGAATTTATTGTATGCAATAATGCTTGCTTAGATGAATCGTATACTCAATACTAGTTATGAGTCCTCTGTGCCCCACGCCTACACAACAAATTACATTATTGCTACCTTCTTCACTCCAACAAATTAATCTCATAATGTTGTTTTGGCCATGGAGTGCTTTTTTGAGGTAACAAAGTTGTCTCTTTAAATTCTTTTTTCAAAAATATTTAAATTATAGTTTTAACAATAATTAAATTTCATCTTTGCATGTTCTTGATCTGGTCCATTTTGAAAGGGATTAAATAAAAATTTAGGGTTGATTTATTTCTTTTAATTTGAGATCTAAAATCCATTCCCACGTGACAAAATGATTCAGATTCAGATTCAGATCACTGCAAATTTATATACGAAGAAGAATTTGTAGTTTAGTACAATGATCTTATTTAATTAACAAACAAAATTAATAATTATATTTGTTTAGTTCGAAGAGACCAACGTCATTAGCAGATACACATAAAAAGTCGTACGTTAATTTTGACATTTGAATTGCTGATATATTAAAAAATAAAAAATAAATAACCATTGCACATAAGGACAAGATTCAAACCAAATCGAATTAATTAAAGAACATGGCTCACAAGTAAAAAAAATATATTTAAATTTATCTATCTTTTTTTTTCATTATTGCAAATGTTTCAAAACAACATACTTGAATAAAAATAATAATAAATATATAAAGAAATTAAGAAAATTAAGGCTGTTAGTTAAATATACAAAAATAGAGAGTATATTACCATCCTGCATATCTTATCCATAAATAGTTATCGGTATTTTATTATTAAAAACATGATTAAATAATAGATTATTAAAATTATGTTATTCATATATTGTAATAAAATATATATTTTTAATAAAAACTATATGATTATTTGTTCATATGATATTTCTATTTATATATTTAAAATGATTAAATATAATGGACCTAAATTATTATTTGATCTTGGGTCTACAAAATTTTGGATCTACCCTACCCTAATCAATAGTATCATTTATCTATTATACAAGTTAACATGAAAATTATCAGTATGCTCAGTCAAGTTTATTTAAAAAAACAATAAATTAAAAATAGTGGAATATAAAATCCAAGAAATTAATCTAATTTTTTTATAAATTAATTTTAATTTATAAAAAAAAGGTTTATTTCATGTAAAAGAACTTTTATCGTAATAGAACTGATTTGAGAGGGTTATCCAAAACAAGTTGGTCATATAATAGTGGTGTGATTCATAATGATATCAATGGAAGTTCCACTGAAAAAGAAACACCGATACAATGAATTTGAGCAAGAAAATATACAAATCTACAGTGTTTATGACTTCAATTATTTGTTAACCTAAACATTATTTAAATGCTTTTTTTTTTATCAATTTCTACTGTATTTTCTACACAAATCACACTTTAAATTAATAAAAGTGATGAATATAGTCATCCCTATCCATATCCATGACCTAAAAGAACATATGAAATAATGATGAGTATGAAAGTAAATAGTAAAAGTGAAAACTTTTGTATGGAATAATAAGTGTGTGGATAAGGCATGAAACAAATTGTTTGTTGGAGTATTTTTCTTCTGCATTACGGCGTTTAACTTTCCTATCCGCAGCATCAGTTTTGTTTCTTCCTTCTGTTGTCTTCATGGGTCACTCGTGTTCGCCCTCTTATTTTAAAAATTAAATAATTTTACTTTATCACTAATTTGTGTATATAAAATTCTTAAATTCTCAAATAATTTTACGGATTCAGTTAATTGAATTGCTTCGTCAAACATCATCTCCTCTCTTGTAGATCATAAGTCTAGTCAAGAGTTATTCAATTTATTTTGTTTTATTTTTCAATTATTTTCAATTTTCTATAAACTCATATATTTAATTACCAATAATGATTTTAAAGTGTTTATTATTTTGCTATGCAATAAATTAATAATAATTATAAATTTACTTAATCATAAAAATAAAGAAAAATAACTGATTAAGAAGTTTTTAAAAACTAAAATGAACATAGTAGAAACCAAAAGAAAAATAATGATAATTAACTTAATTTTGAAATCCATCCCTATTTTTTTTTAATATACTTAATAGGATTTAGTGTTAATCCAAAACGCAAAGGAGTTTTGGTTCTCTTAAGATCCATCATCCATACATGTTCTCATTCATACAAAATAACTTACATAATTGTTTGACATTTATTCACGAAATTAAGATTACAAAATTATTGAGAATTGTACATTTTTAAGCATCTATTTTGTAAGATTTAGATAATTGATCCACTATCCAAACTCTATCAAGTTGAATTAATAAATTTTAATGAGATAGGTATTAAAATCAATAAAGATATTCATAACCACAAAAATGAACAGAGAATTGGAAACAAAAAGAAGAAATATATGATATTACAAAATAATTTCGAAACTCAAATTCTAACAACAGGTTAGAAACCCTAAATTGATAAAGATGTTTGACCTTCAACATATTGAAGATTCAAGAACATACAAAGAATTAGAGAAAGTGTTTTGTATAAAATTTAGATCTAGATGTATAAATGTGATCAAATTGAAATTTGTTGCTAACTTTTCCTCCCTCGTAACAAAATACAAAGATATACGAGTTAATCTATTGATTCTGACCATTCATAATTAAGGTCTATCAAATCAACTTTCTAAAAATATATTCCGAGTCTAATTTAATTTGAGTGAATTCTATCTATTTTAAAATGAGTAGTCAAGGGAATCTATAACACAGCCTATAACTTCAATCATCATTTTGATACTAAAATATCAAAAAATATTGTGACAGACAGACATGGAGAGGTTTTTATCATATTTCTAGAGGCACCCATCCAAATATAATATTTTTAATTGCAACGCAAGATAGATACACCAAAGTGAGTAAAAATCCAAACTTGTGAAACTTAGCAATTAACTCCATTAAAATTTACTAATCTAAATTCATTTAATATTTTATTAAGTCTTTAGGCAATGTTAATTATGTGCAAATAGGTGACAAAATAATTTCATCTCAAATCAGTTTTTTATTTTTTAAAATAAGCATTTTACTTTGTGGTATGAGAATACAAGTACCTTTCATGAGAAACAGCTGGATAAAACCACTGGATGTTTCGGTAAATAGGCCATACATAATTCTTTTAAGTAAAAGCTCAAGACCAACGTTGAGGGGCATGAAAGTAATGAAAACCCACACACAATCCTGACACAGCCTAAAAACAAAGTTAGGAATTGGTAATTGTACGGATCAGTTTATTTAAATTCAAAAAATATTTTTTTCTGAAAATGTTCAAGAGATGATTTTCAAATGAGTGTTTTGAGTGCAACTTAAACTAACTAACTAACCAAACACAGTAATCATGCCTCTTTGGGCTCCAAGAATAAAAGATAAGCTATTAAGCCAATCACAGGAACATAACTAAGATACTTTACTACAGCAGCCTTGTTTTCCTGGACATTCTGGAGGTTGTCACCAATCAACCAAGGCTGGAAAATTATGTAAAGACATATATCCCATATGAAGGCATAAGCCAGCCTTTCTGATCCAAGATAACCCACCAAGTAGTCCCATCTATCTGCTATACCGCCGAAATTTGCATCCATTCGACCAAAAATAGCCCACAATAGAGATACAAGACATACGCTCCCACCAATCACTCCAACAAGTGGAGCAACATTTGTCATCGTTGAGACAAATTGTGAATGCTTTCTTGGAGCACCCTCATCAGTAGGATCATTCAAGCGGATAGCCATGTATGGGATCAGAAATGCTGGCATAGTAGAAAGGAGTTATGAAAGGAAATGCAATTATATCATGCGTAAAGGAAGAATAAGTTGAGATTAAATCATTCATCTGTTTCAGAAATAGGAAAATTTCTGTTCTATGGGAGGTCATATAATAGACTTGTCAAGCTAGAGAGATTTGTCAGACATACTGTTTGTCAGGAACAATTGCAGGCTGTAGAGTACATCTAGCGACCCTTTATATCTATCGTTCTTTCGATCTGTGTACAGCAATGGGGCAAACATAAACGTCCAGCCGATCACAAAATTGAATAGTCCTTCTGACATCTGAAGTAAGAGAATAGTCTAAAATCAGGGAGAATGTTCTATCAGGTATTTGGTGCCAATTACTTTGAGCAATGACACTTACAGGATGAAGAACTGGCGCATCAATCAGATGAATTCCAACTACTCTGCCAAAAAGGTAAATGTGGAAATCATTTAAGTGCAAAGATAAACGGAATAGTTTTTTTCAAAAAAAGACAAGCAGTGTACACTCCATATCCATATTAAAAGAAGCAGATCAAAGTTCAGCTTTGTTTGACTTTGAGTAGAATAGCTGATTTCAATGCAGTAATGGATTCAAAATTGTTGTGAAGTGGGGATTTAAGGCAATTATTTATAAAGAAAAAAAATTATATTATTTTTTTTTCTTGCGTAATATATGGCTATGACATGTGATTTGGTCCGACACTGTCAAAACAGTCACTTAAAAATTGAAACAAAAATGTGTATGTGTAAATCTTTTTTTCCTCTAAAAGTCCCCATGTCATGTTCGTTCCTACAATGTTTACAATTCAGCAAGTCCTTATGCCTGTGTCAATCTCTATGCTTCCCAGTTTAGAAGGCATTTTTCTTTTCCTTTCATTTCGGAAAACTAGAAACAAGATAGAAGTAATGAGCAATCACTTCATACAAACCTATATACAGAATAAGATTGTATACAATAGTTTTCTGCTGGGAATCCTGGAGGCATATAATATATAAACCAAGTCATGGCCTTAGGAATTATCCATACTACATGGAAATATAAAACATTCCAATGTAAATTTTCATATATAAATAGAATGAAAGGACTCAAAATGAATCTTGTCAATCAAATTTTCTCTCTATAAACAGTGGCCAAAACAAAGTTTATTAACCAATATAAATATAATTGAAAAAAATGAAAATATCACAAGGCAATCAGTTATTCTTATCGGACGTTGTAATGCTTATAAATTCATCCAAATTAAAGAATCGCCATGATGAAAAGTTGAGAATAAAAGGAATCAACTCAGTAGTTATTTGTTAGCGGTACGTACCAAAGTTCATGAAAGGCAATATGAAAAAGAAATTTAGAGAAAGACCCACAAGAGAGTTCCATGTGTCAGAACTTATGGCCCATACAGGATCTCCCTGTCACAATACGAGGATCCTTTGAGATTTCAAAATTAAATCAATACAATATTAGCAAACAAAGAACAAAAATATGCAAACAACTCTTCAAAAATGTTCCAAATTGCCACAGCAGAGGAAGAATCAATATACAAAGTATTATGCCAAAGCCATGGAATCAACTTTCTATACAATCATTTTAGGAAAAAAGTGTACTCAGACAAGAGTTATAAAATTATATTGATAGTGTTGTGAAAGATGAGATACATAAACAAAAACACTAATTCCCCAAATCATAATAAAGGGAGAAAACAAATAATGAAATATAAGAAAATATGGAAATACAAATTCAGCTATGATTCTCTCCCCGATACAAACAAAACTACCCTCGAGTTTGTTTCTACTTGTGTTCCTCCATCTCCCATTTTATAGCACTTATTACACAAAGTTCTACTCGGCAGGCTAACAGTGATTTTGTCAAGCATGGCAAACAGCACTATGTCCTAATCCATGGAAATCAGTCCATAAATTAAAATGTACAAACCAAATCACTTGAGGGTCAAGTACCTTAAAGCATTCATTCAAGATAACACACCCTAAAGAGGTTCTTATTTTTCTTATATTTAAAAAAAAAAAAACTATAAAAAGTTAAGTTTTCATGCATACCATCGACAAGTCAGTCAGTCATAAATCATAGCAGATAACAAACAAACATTCATGGCAATCTTTACAGTAGTGTGAACATGTTACACTCTCACTGCATTGCAATGAAATTCAAATAACAATACATAATAGTTGTTTTAGAATACTACCTCCATTTTCATAATGGATTTTAATTTCACCTTGAAAGGCAAAGTTACAAATAGTTACTTCCACTTTTTCAAAGTAACACGTCCTTAGGAATCAATCAAGACAGAAAGTAGTTTAGGTTTTTATAAACATTCTCCTCAAATGGCAAATTGAAAATTAAAAAAAAAATCTCAAAAGGGTACGTACAGGGGCATAAGGAAGCAGGAAGAGCCATAGAATGTAGACACCTTCTGCAACCCACAGCGTAATTCGAAGCACTCTTCTGAGATAGTATTTGTCCTCTTCCAAAGAGGGTATAGGTTTCCGCCGAGTAGAGAAGCACAAATGGGTCCCCGAAACGCATCGTTTCGCTTTGGTAATGACAGGGGAAAAGCAATGGATGGAATTTAATGCGTGGCGAAGCGGTCTTCGGTTGTGCAATTGGGGAAGATGGAGCGAAGATTTTGGGGACAGGGGTTTGGGTGAAAGGAATGGGCGCAGGAACGGTGGACACGACGTCGTTGTGGTCGTGGCCATTACTCAGGCTTAGATCTTGAGTGGTTCAGCTCATTGTTATAAGGTGGATGATGAAAACGTCGTATTTTACTTTTTTTTAAATACTTATTATTATGTAAATATCAATTTTATTATCTCTGTTAAAATAAAATTAGGTTAATAACAAATTTTCTATCCTTCCCCACCTTTCATAATGTGTTTTGCTCTGCGGCATATAATATAAATAAAAAGTAAATTTATTTACGATAATTTAAATTAATATGATACAAAAACATTTTATAAAAAAATAGAAAAAAAAATTATTTTTTTCTCTCTCCTCCTTAATAAATATCTTTTATTTTCGCCTATTTCAAACGACGTTGTTGGTGGGTAGACATTTTCAGTTCTTCCTTGTCAGACACTCTTCGTTTGCTTTGGGGGAAAAGAGAAAAGGAAGATTCTGAATTTTCCCGCCAACTTTTCTTCGATCCAAAAAATGGCACCAAAATCCGATAGCGCCGAAGGTACCATCTCCGTCACATACCTTTCATTTCGCACTTCTTCTCTCAAAACCTAACATCTCTCACTCTGTCGTTTCGCAGCCATCGTGTTGAACTTCGTCAATGAGGTAAGCAACAACCCCGTGCCCAGTCCCGTGCTTCACAACTCATCTCACGTCACACGCATTCATAGTAGCAAGAAAATCAAATTTGAAATCAAAGTTAAAAACGCCACAATTTTGTAATGGTGGTTTCAATTTTTATTTTTTTTTGAAATTTGATCAGCAAAACAGGCCGGTGAATACGCAGAACGTGGCGGATGCGTTGCAGAAGTTCAACCTGAAGAAAGCGGCGATTCAGAAAGCGTTGGACAACCTTGCCGATGGGGGGCGCATTTCGTTCAAGGAGTACGGTAAGCAGAAGATATATCTTGCGCGGCAAGATCAGTTCCAAATTCCCAACAATGAAGAATTTAACCAGATGAAGGAACAGAATGCTGACATGCAAAAACAGCTAGAAGATCAGAAAAAGGCTATCGGTGAGGTTGAGGCAGGTATGTATACTCTACTAAAGTCATGGACCCTATTTGTTGCAATTAAAAGTTTTTGTAGTTTGAACATTTTAGATAAACTTAAAAAAAAAATGAAATAAATATTTTCACAAACGAAAATTAGCTTATGTATAAACTTTGAAATAAGCTATTAGACAACTTAATATGTGAGATCTTCCGCGGATAAACTTATATTTTTTTTCTTTTTATTAAGTGTTTACCAAGGAATTTATCTAAACAGATTCTTAGAGTTGTTCAGTGAACGAGAGAATTTTTATTATTATTATTATTATTATTATTATTATTATTATTATTATTATTATTATTATTATTATTATTATTATTATTATTATTATTATTATTATTAGCTACTCTTCCTAGTTCATTGTGTGACTATCCCTCATTTTGTGGATTGGAATATGTAACTGTACTTTTTCAACTTTTATCTAAATTTAACTGATGTTCATATTTGCATTAAAGTAGAAAGAGTTCGAATGTACTTTTTATTTTCTAAACAGCAATTTGTTTCTTCCTTTTTTGTGCATTGAAGTTTGCAATTGTGCATTAGTATGAACAATTACATTTTAAATTTTAATCTAAATATAGCTATCGCACCTTCACCCAATGGTTTGATTTGCTGAGTGAACCAATTACATGGATTATTGACTGAACCAAATCCAGGTCATTTTTTGCAGTGACTGATTTCATGCATTCACGCAGTTAGCAAATTGAAAACATTGAATGAAGATCAGATGATTCGTTGTGTACTTCAATAAATTAGACTTAAAACATGCATCTGAGATATGGTTTTGATTGGTTGAGTTGCCTGATTTTCATCTAATGTTGCCGAATTGGTGACTGTAACAATTATGTGACTTATGGAGTATACTTAATCTGGGTGATTGGTTGAGTTGCCTGATTTTCATCTAATGTTGCCGCATTGGTGACTGTAACAATTATGTGACTTATGGAGTATACTTAATCTGGGTGATTTGGTGCAGTAAATTATTTCATGCATTCATGCAGTTAGCGAATCAGAGTTGTTGAACGAAGATCAGACCACTCATTTTATCTTGATTAACTGGATTGAAAATAGACATTCAAGATTGAGCAGATTGTTCTTCATAAAGTGATTCTAGTTAACTGATTGTGTGAATGCGTGAAATTGTTGACCGTAGCAAATTCGGACACAATGTGGATGCCTAGAAAATAATATGATTATGTAGAATGCTACGGGTTTTCTTTGGTTAATAAAGCACTTTCAGTTTCAATTTTTTGATTACAAACGATGAAGTAATTACAAAATAATTTTCACATTGATTTCGTCGTGTTTCTTGATTTTAAAGATCTACATCAAAATCCGTGAAAACATTGAAAATCTTGTTAGTGTTTTTGTTTAAATCTTTACAAAAATGAAATAAAAAATAATGTGACATTTTGTAATTACATGTGAAGTAGAAAATAGATTGAAAACTTTCTCTCTCTGTGACTAAAGAGGTCCTTTTTAGAGTACTCCTATGCAATGATTTTAATATGAATGCCGCATTGCTTAATAATTAATATCATAAAAAATTTCATTATGGATACTATTTTTCGTGCATTTGGAACAATTTAGAATTTGTGATTGTGGACAAACCTCTTGATCTTGCAATTTTTGGATATAACTTGTTGGTGCAGAAATTAAGTCGTTGCAATCAAATTTGACACTGGATCAGATCTTTGAAAGAGAAGTGAACCTTAGATTGGAGGTAGCTGATGTGGATGCTTGAGTGTTTTTTTTTTTTATTATTATTTCTTGAAAGGGAATTATTGGTGATTGTTTGTGCTGTTTCAACTAATAGTATGTTTTGCATTTTTTGTTCTGCTTCAGGTTCAAGAGATGGAGGAGAAATTGACCAAGTTACGGGGAGGTGTAACTCTGGTAAAGCCAGAAGAACGCAAGGCAGTTGAGGGTATGTTATCAGAGATGCTAGGTCAGTGGAGAAAGCGTAAAAGAATGTTCAAGGATTTATGGGATACCCTCACTGAGAACTCACCTAAGGATCCCAAAGAATTTAAGGTTTCATTCTTCGCCTATCACAACCATTGATCTTATTCAGTTATTTTTAAAGTTTCTGTTATCATGTTGATACTTTCTCACTTTGCAGGAGGAGCTTGGAATAGAATATGATGAAGATGTTGGGGTGAGTTTTCAGTTATACAATGACCTGATTCAACATGGTAAGAAGCGGTCCAGGGGGCAGTGATGTATTTATGGAAATCAACAACTTAGAAGTACAGATTGTTTGGTGTTCTGACCACATGGAAAATAACTGCAAAATTACATATAGCTATGTATTATTAAGTTTTTACAATTCTGATCTAGTTTGGTTTTATTCACTAAAATTACAAACCTAGCTCATCACTAGAGCATTGTCTCAATGCAATATTATTGTTAATATCTCTTTTGACCCAGGCATTGGTCCTTTTTACTTAGCATACTATTCTAGTGCTCATGTTTTAAGGACATAAGAACATTATCTTTATTGTTGAACTTCATATCTACTGAAGAATGAATTTGACATCAACAGATCTGAGGAAATAAAACTAACCCTAAGCAGAAACCACTTATAATCTATTTTCCATGAGAAACCTTGCGTTCTCCTTCCTAAAAGTCTTACCAATGCTTTTCCTGGTATACTCCGGTATCATAGTTATTAGAAAATCTTACCGTTTATTATTCGAGTTATACCATTTGGTTAGCTATTTACTCGTATGATAAAGATGAATCTCAAACGATTTTGAATCTTAAAATACATAAATGAATTCGTATAATGTTGTATCATTGACATGAATTACACAATCTAATTTAATATTTTAACTTTGTTTACTCTTACACCAATTCTGTTGAATGAAATTTAAAAGTCACAAGAGCCGAAATTGTTAAAAGGAATTGAAAAAGATTTTTCAAACTTATTCTATTTTATTAATTTACTATTTTTTTCTCATTCATTCTATGTACTTTGTTTGGTTTGATTGCTATGTTTATATTTATTCTTTTAAGAGACTTCACAAACTCAAATAACTAGTATTTTGTTTTTATAGACTTATGTCAAGTTTTTTTTTTTTTAAACTATTTCTACTGTTATACAATTACATTGAACATAATGTATATTATTTTTACAATAATATTTCACGGTATTTTTTATTGTCTCTAATATTATGATCCAATATATTGAGTCTTCCTTTGATAGTGATATAGTATTATGATTCAAATTGACAATGTGAACTAGGAAATACCATAACATGGTTAATAATTGGTTTAATCTAATGCCAATATGACATCTCATGGAATATCAGATTTCATGTGTTTTAAAGGTTCTACTGCCGTCATATTTCAGTGTCTGATCAATATTATACTGCTTCTTATGTCCATGACTCCATGTCCAGATATTACTTTTATGTCAAAATTGCAATAAAGAAGAGGGAGAATTTTCAACATTAACTTTGCATCCAACTAATTAAATTAATCATTTAAACAATGGAAAAAAAAAAATACTGGCATTCTTATGGCAAATCCATGAGACAATTTAAAAAACCAAGCCATAGCACACTTAGCTAAGCTACTAGCAAAACTTCAACCTGATATGTTGCATGCACTCATACACTCTGTAATTTTGCATTCATCTACTCCTCACTGAAATTGGCCTCTTCTGCAAATCCAACTGAGGCACACCTTGCATCTTGGATTCTGACACTGTATTTAATACTAGTTGCCTAGAACTTGAACCAACATCTATACCAGCACCATAACCTGAAGATGTCTTCTTGGAATATTCATTTCTTTTTTGTTTGTTATCAGTCTCATCATCACTATCATCAAAAACTACTTCCTCTTCCAAAGCACGAGCCTCAACTTCAGTATCCAATGAGGGTGTAGCCCCCTTCAAAATCTTATCAGATGAAATGCAACTTATGTCTTTTGACCTTTTTAACTCATCTATATCCTTGTTTAAAACGTCTCTTTGAATTTCACTGAGGATTTCCCTTTCCACTTGAGGTTTCACATTGGCATGTCCATCCTCCACTTTTCTTGTATGAGGGCTAGGACTATCATGATCATCAGGATCATGTGACTCAGATCGGGAGAGTTCCACTGCTGCTCTTGCAGCAGCTGCAGCATATGCTGCTGACTCGAATGCTGCTTGTGCTGCATCAGCTACGTCCTTGTACTTTTTCCTGCTCTGAAAGGAATTAGTTAACTCCTCATCTTTCCCTCTACTAGGCAAAATGCTTACATTCTCTTCCTTTTTCTCAGGTTCATGCTGGTTTTGCTTTTCTACCTGGGATTCTTCCTGAACAGTTCACATCAGATGCCATCAGTAGTTGTTTTTCAAATGTAAATATAACTGGAAATTTACATTTTGCTCGCTTAGTTTTTATACCTCGACAGAAACAGAAGTTTCTTCAAGCTGCAGAACGATACCATTCTCAGAAGCAATGTCCTTGAGTACCTTCATTCTGCTTTCCAGGCTTGGCATCCTTGTTGACAGCTTTTGTATCATCTATAAACAACGAGATAAAAAGGGTTGTAAAATAGTTTCCAGCCAAAAAGAAACTAAAATTCGAGGCACAGATTCTAACTTGTGCATAAATCTTAGTTCCCAACATGTCTATCAGGCAAAACAAATAGTGGGAAAGCAACAGTATTAGCATTCCTGATTTTCATATCATAGACACACCTGTGGATGGACGCCACAGTTGTTCCTCAACTCAATAGAACGAGCAGCAAACTCCTTGCCAAACCGTGAGGTCAAAACTGCTCGAATCTCTTGAATCTCTGGAAAATCTCCACACCTTGAAGCTGCGTAGAGCAATCCCGATGCTGCCTCCTTCAGTTCCTCGGGACATTCCCTGTAACAAGAAGACCAAAACAATAATTTCAAGAGAAAAACAAAAGCCAATTCCTTCACTGAACAAATTACCAGTAAAACAACCTTTCTTGCTCAATGAGGTGGACCCTTTCCATCAAGAGATTGCAGTATCCTTCAATCCTGTCATACACATCTAACATGTTCTGATCCTTGATCACATGCTCAACCTATAAAAAACAACCCAGTTCTAAGTTATCTAGATATGTGAGAAAAAAAAACGAGAAAAAAATATCCTATATATGTAAATGTAAATTGTTATGGATGATAAATTTATTGACTTTTATCTTGTTAAAAGTTGTACCTCCATTATGTATGCGATTGGTTGATGGGGTGAACTGTTTTACACTGCTAATGCAAGAAATGAAATTTAAAAAGTTGGTGGTGAGAGACAAGATAACATGTATAAATAATATCTTACTCTAAGTGAAGCACGTTCAAGGTGACCTAGCTTGATGAGTTCAAGAACATCAGAACGTGCATGTCTAAGGCGAGCCAGGCGCTGGTTCTTGAGAACAGCGAGGCGTGAGATGGCAAGGTTTGTGACAGCCTTGAACTTTGCAGCCTTGAAGGTTCTACCTAGGAGAGCATCTAGCTTCTTGCCCATAATATCCACGTACCTTAGTTCTGAATGATAAGAACAAAACAACACACCCAATTAAGTGTGTTGATGATGGCAATGACAGTGCCAAGAGCAATGGCCTATGGAGCAAAGAAGCAGACTCAAAATGAGAACTTCCATGCGATGCCAAAGAAAGAGAGAGAAAATGGAGTTTTTATATGGTGTTCTGAGAAGCAGTGCCAGTTGGCAAATGACAGATAATTTTCTTGCAAAAAGATTCTGCCTTTCTATGTTTTTCTTATTTGGGCGTTGTCGATTGCAAGAGTTTTCTTAGGAGAGAAGAGTCTGCAACGCGGTTGGCGTGTGTGAAGAAGTTCCCAAGAAAGATGAATAGTGGCTTCTGTGTTGACACCTTCTCAGAAAATATGTGAAGGAAACACAACACGTAGGACGCCCAAAACCACAACAAATCATCGTTTTGTTGTGACAATTTGGTTAGACGCATCAGACGGAAATCCAACGGTCACAATCACGTCCCTTTCTCTTCTCAATTTCTACATTTATTACTTTTTCCTATTTATGCTATATTTTTTATTAAATTAAAAGAATTACTAATTATATTTTTAATCCTATCATTTATGTATTTAATTCAATTAAAATACAACAACGTCATTCCTTTCTACTCCATTAGCATTAAATCGTTAATAAATAAGTGTTTATAGTTTTAATGCTTATAATCAATGTATACTGTAGAGTAAAATTTATATAATTGACAACATATATTTTAATGGAGGAAATAATCACATTGTTATATTTTTTAAATTATTTTTTTATTAAACTTTAGAATTTTACATTATTATGTTTTAGAATTAAAATACTTGATCGAATTTTTATTGATAAAGGGACTAAATAAAATAATAGAAAAAAAAATCAATTAACCCAAATTACAACATAACCGGTAAAGGTATATGATATTTAATATATTTTTATGTCTTTATTTGTTAATAATTGCGGGTTTTGTGTGAAACCGCGTAACTTCAACAATCACATTTTTTTTTTATAAAATTATGTTTTAGTTCATACATATTTATGAAAAAGGTTATATGGAAGACAAGTATTATGAGAAATTGAAAAAGAAATTTCCTTTATACAATTTTGTTTAGTATATATACTTTTTGAGAAATTTATGGACTTTAAATTTTGTTATTAATTTGTATATTAGATTTTTATTAATATAAATATCAACAATAGTTCTTTCTTTTCAGTTTAAAAACGTAAATTATACTTAGTTTTCAACATATTCTTAAATATTATACTATCATTTCTATTAATTATCGAAATTATTCATCTCTCTTAAAAGATGAAACGTGACTACTTTTTACTACAAATAAATCTTGACGGGTAAAAGAAAAAAAAAAAGGTAATGCGTAATTATGAATGAATCTTTTAATAAAAAATTTCCATTTTCAACAACTTTGACTCTTACTATAGTAACTTATTTTGAATACTTATTAAAAAAAAAAACTGAAATTCTGGACAACACATTCATCTAAAATCCTAAATTTAATAACAGTAGAAATTCGAAACTAAATAAGTGATTAGATCAATAAGCACAGATATTATTGCAAAGTAATCTAAAATGTTTCTTCACTCAAATAGATGAAAACAGTATAATATAACACTTATTCAAGTGGAACTACACTTTTTTAAATTAATATAAAAAAACTGGGTATTTTTATTTATTTTTTATTTGTAACAATGATAAAAAATTAAA